AGAGAGAGAGAGAGAGAGAGAGAGAGAGAGAGAGAGAGAGAGAGAGAGAGAGAGAGAGAGAGAGAGAGGAGGAATGACAGAGCTAACTTCCAGCAACTTTTCGATCAGACAGCAATCAGAATGGGAAGTGTTGCTATGAACCAGTCTGGATCTGACTGAAAGACTCTTCTGAAGTAAGGCAGGTAAAGTACACGGAGTGTGATTGAGATCATTGGAGGTTAGTGAGCATTGGTCTTTGCTCACCTTGACAGAGTAGATGGTATAGAAGAGGGGATGGTAATCATCTGTTTCTCCCGTCAGTACGGATGAGAAGAAGACTCCTGTGTCGGCTTTGGCTACTATCTATGTTGTTGATGTAACTTGTGAGGCTGTAGATAGTTGCCTAGAACAGACTAGATGATTTATGGACCTAACAGAGGGAAGATCTTGCTGAGAGTGGGCAGTAAGAGGCATAGCGTTGAGGCTTACCCGTTAAAAGTTTTCTGCTGCCCCTTGGTTGGAGAAGAAGTATGGGTTGCAGCATGTGCTTGTACTTTGATCTGTATGTATATGGGACGCTGGACCCGTTTTCCAGCACGTGCTGCTCCCCACGAATAGATGGAGAGGTGGACCCCACCGCCCAAAGTCTGGAAACGGCAGTTTCCGTGGTAAAGCGACGCGGAAGTCCTGGAAGGTTTCGGAAAAGAAAAGACGGGACCCCACCGAAGTGCCTCTTTTCCAGACTTTTGGAAGAGTTCTTCCAGACTTTCGAACCAGTTTGGCTGTTTTGTCCGCCGTCGAAGCCCGGGTAGGCCGCGGTGGACCTGCGGGGTGACCGCTGACGGGTCGTGGGTGACATTGCGTGGCATCTGCGCTGCATGGTGCGACGGGAAACGCTGGGACCCTCCCGCTTGGACGGTTTCGCGGTACCCGAGACGGCAACGGTCGAGCAGCACAAGTACCTGGGCCCATGGTCCGTTCGCCCGTCCAGTGCCGAAAGCCAGGCGTGGGGGTGCCGGGTGGTGTTCAGTGGGGACTCTTGGAACTCCAAGACACGAAGGGGAGGTGGCGTGTTCTCGGAGGGATTATCAACGACCGGTTGTGACCGCCATAGCCGCGGGCAGCGAAGCACTGTCGTGCCCCCCACATGGATGCATCGATGTCAACAACCGTAGCCGATTACTGGGATGATGATGAGATGTTCATCGTCCTCTTCGTCATCATGCAATGGATGAACCGGAGAAACGTCGCCGCCGTGGGCGTCCTTCAAACTGCAGCAGCAGTGCCCTTGTGCGGTTCGGAGGTTTCGTCGGCCTTCTTCCATCTGGCCGGTGTGGTGATGCACAGCGTGTCCTTGACATTTTGCATTGTCGACGAATTGGGTGCGAGGTTGGACCGCTGACGGCGACTATGGGTGATCGAACGCAGCGGGGGGTTGTGGAAGGATCTGCAGAGGGTGGGAGTGGGGCACGACAAAGTGTTCAAGCGATTTTGCAGGATGCCGCGGCCTGTGTTCAACGACATGCTCGCCCGAATTGGCCCCCATATCCAGCACCAGACGACGAACTGGCACAAGCGGTTATCGGGTAGCTGAAAATTCAGGAATGAAAATTCTGAAGTGAGAGTTTTGGGCAGTCTGAAAATCCTGAATGGTCCTGAAGTG